AATTTTCATAAACATCTTGAAGAGGGGCATAGGTCGAAGTGTGTGTTGGTCGTGCGGCGTGCTGGTTCGTGCGGCGCGTGACACGGCGCCTCCGGTGTGAGGGAACCTCCGGCTCGCCTTCGGCTCGTTTAATTTTCATAAACATCTTGAAGGGGGGCATAGGTCGAAGTGTGTGTTGGTCGTGCGGCGCGTTGGTCGTGCGGCGTGTTGGTTCGTGCGACGCGTGTTTAATTTTTATATAGCAGGTTATGCTGAAGGTACGGGTTTGAAGCATGTGTTTGAAGCATGTGGTGAAGTTTGTGCTGAACGTTGTGCTGAAGGCACGGGTTTGAAGTAATTGCAGTCACGTCTGTTTACGAGTTAGGTTTGTGCATGCATTCACATGTGTGTATACTACGAAGGCATTGGTATGTCGCCTGCGGAGGCATGTGAAGTCACGTGCGCGTAGGAGCTAGCCACGGTTGAGGCGTTCTTGGTATGTGTGTGTGTGAATATTGTCCGGAGGCATGGTGACCCAGGGTTGATGGCACAAAGGCCATTTCACCTATGGAGGCACGGGAGGGTGATCTCCAGAGTCACGCGTAAGGCTATGTGTGTGTGTGGATATTGCCCGGAGACATGGTGACCCAGTGTTTGATGGCACAAAGACCATTTCACCTCTGGAGCCACGGGAGGGTGGTCTCTAGAGTCACGCGTAAGGCTATGTGTGTGTGTGGATATTGCCCGGAGGCATGGTGACCCAGTATTTGGTGGCACAAAGGCCATTTCACCTCTGGAGGCACGGGAGGGTGGTTTCCAGAGTCACACATAATGGTATGTGTGTGTGGATATTGCCCGGGTGCATGGTGACCCAGGGTTTGGTGGCACAAAGGCCTTGTCACCTCTGGAGGCACGGGAGGGTGGTCCCCAGAGTCATGCGTAAGGGTTCGTTTTGAGAGTCAATGTTGTCGTACAAATAAGAAGAGGCATTGTTGTTTATAGTTTATTGGCACTCTCTGATGATGTAAGAGGCATTGTTGTCGAAATACTTCTCTTTTCAACATGAACACGCAGTTTCTAACTACATTACATAGAAATATGAGTTATTGATAAAAAAATTTGTCACGTCTATATAGAATTAGCCTCGCGGTCTAAATCAAAAGTTTTAGTCTTTATTTTTGCTCAAGATCTTACTAATGTCGTCACCCATCTCACTGGCTTTGATTTGATTCATCTCACTACTTAAGAGAATGTACATTGCCTCTGCCCTCCAATCTTCGACCACATCCTGTGAAATTTTACCGAGAAGAGAAGTATATTATTAGAGTTTGTGCATATAAGTTGTTTATAAGTAAATCTATATAAACTTACTGTCAAATCTTCCACGTCTTGGACAAACTTTTCACCATTGTAGATGAATGCAAGCTTTAAAACAGCAAATGTTGATTCTTCCTTTTCTACCACTGGAACATCTTGCACGATATGAATCTGCCATCTTGTACGCATGGGAGTCATTGTTTATCCTAGTATGGTGTTGAAGACTTCTTTAAACCTAGGTATCTGGGAATATTGCATTTTGTAATTAATTGTTTTTATATTGCAACTTGTAAAACTGAAAAAATTGTTTGCTTACGATTGCCAACTTATGAACATGATATTCCTGATACTGTCTTTCTTTTCTTTTTTAGCATCTTCATTTTCCTGAAGAACTCGAGTTGCTTCTTTTTCATCCAATTTATCTATGTCTATCTTTTCTTTCTCAAATTCCTCTGGAGTCGTTTCTCGAGGATCAATAATGTGAACTTTGTTTTTGTATTTGTCCAGCACATATAGTACATAGCGGTCATCCTTCTCCATTGGAATGAATATCTGCGTACAAAATACTTGTTGCTTAGATGACAGTTTAATATAAAGTAATTTAATAGAATGCATATTTTGAGATTTTGTCATGGAGGAAAGGGTTGTCATCATGTTTGCTGTTGAGAGCGTTTTCTGTTGATTTCCCTTGAGATACATGGGAACCAGTTGATTCTTTCTTTTTTGCAATTCATTCTTAAATTTTTTAATACCAGTTTTGTGATGCTTTAAATCCAATATATGCTGCAAACAATAATTACGATAAAAAACTGTTAGAAAAAAGAGTTGTGTAACAATATAAAAGAGTAGGTGTTGCAATATAGACAAGATTTTGCTTTTTAAAATTTTACCTCTGCAAAGTTTGGGCCTAATATTACTCTATCATTCTGTTTTGAATCTTGTTTGCTTTCCTAGATTTCTGCTATGTCATCGAGGACCCTCTTTTCCATATAATGTGGTATGTTCGTGTGTGCTGGTCTTGGACCAAATACTGCCTTTAGTTGGGCTCCAGTAAGTTGCGTGCTTTCACTATCCCTACGGATGCGCCTAAATATAATTTTGCTGTGACAGGGAGATTAAATAATTTTGGAGGTCACGGTCAGTGAGAAACAGTTTTTTACATTATTTTTGGCCTCTGTCCAACTATATTTGAGGTGCAATAGAAAACAACCCACTTTTTGCATTCTTCCTGCCAGCTGTCGCTCATGACTAGATGGAAGAGGTTGGACGCCTCCGTTGTGTGTTGGAAGTAATGAGAATGTTTTGGGTATGGACTGATGCTTCGTCTTTTGTC